ACAATATGCAGTATTTTATAATCTTTTGGAAGAAAGCAAGCTGGGGAGATGGTTCAGGTAATAAAGTGCTTGCCTTACAAGCCTGATGACTGAGTTTGATTCCCAGAACCTGGGTGAAAAACGCAATGTTAGCTGGGCATGGTAGTGCTTGCATTTGATCCCTGCATCTGGGAGACAGGCAGGCACAAAGGGACGACTGGAAATATAGCTCAATTGGTAAAGTGTTGCCATGTGTGATGGTTAATATTGTCAACTTGAGAAGAGCTAGAATCACCCAGGAGGCAAGCTGCTGAGGATGCCTGTAAAGGACTGTCTAGATAAGGTTAAATTAGGTGGGAGGGAAGGCCTACTTTAAATGCGGATGTACCATTACATGTGCTGGGGTCCTGGACCGAATGAAAAGGAGAAAGTGAACTGAAAAGGAGCATTCACCCCGCTTTTCTTCCTGACTTTGGATACAATGTGATCAGCTGCTTCAAGCTCCTGACACCAAGACTTCTCTGCCATGATGGACTGTATCCCTGAACTGTGAGCCAAGATAAACCCTTTCTCTCTTAATTTTCTTTTATCAGAGTGTTTTATCACAGCAACAGGAAAGTTAATTAAAGCAGGAAACAGTGCTGTGATACATCTGCTCCTATAGTCCTTTGACCTTTGGAACTCCTTTGCAGGAGGAATGTGGAAGTGTTTGAAACTTTGGGTAAGACAAGTCCTTGAATAATATAAGCAGAGCTTAATGGTCCATTCTGGTACAGACTCAGAAGACAAGAAAGCATAGAGAAACCAGACAGTAGAGGGTCAGCTCATGAGACTTCAGGAAGGAACAAGGACTCTATTGAGAACTGAACTAGAGGCTACTCTTGTTGTGTTCTGGCAAAGAATCTGGTTGAATTCTATGTGTCTTGAGAACAAGTATGTAGGTAGAGTAAAAATGATGGACTAATTTCTTTGGTGAAGGACATTTCAAGATAGCATAGCATTCAGGTTGTGCTATGGCTGTTGCTCAGTTCTTTATTCAGATCTATAGTGAGAGAGAGCATAGAAGTCATGGAAAATACGAAGTCTAGCAAAGAAAGTTGTGTGAGCAAGTCTAAAATTTAGGCCGAAGGAGAGTGAGGATGACAAAATACAGTCGTTGAAAAGAAATGCTACTCTTCTCATTGGGAAAGGGGAAAAGTGCCTTGAAGTTACGCCCCACTCATTAAAGGCTCCAGCTTGCCAAAATGCTCATTTATTTGAAAAAAGAAAGCCTGAATGGAGAATGCTTCAGGAGTTTCCTGCTTAAAAGAACTTCACAGGAGACTGACTTTGCAGATTCAGCCACAGGCCACCAAGGTATACCTATGCTGCTATAGTTGTGATCCAGTGTGGTCAGCCTGTATCTCATGCTGACAGCAGAACTTGGCAGCATCATCCATGTGCATGGATGGCTCTGCATGGATGAAGGATACAAAATAGAAGGGGTCAGGGAGTCTTGCTCGGAAGTTTCAGAGAGCTGCTGAGGCCAGGAAACAGGCAATAGGATCAGAGTCCCTGAAAGATGCCCTCAGAGCCCACTGGGTGAAGCTCTGAAAATGAAGTCTAAGTTGCAATAGATGTTGGCGGTTCCAGAACCATGTGACATCCACTGAGAAAAGCCACAGGCATGGAATGAACAAACCCAAGAGAGAAAGTGTGCAGCAAGAGGAGTGGCCGGGCTGCTCAAGCTCCTTGGAGCACAGGTGAGTCTATCACCAGCCTCAGGTGTCAGACATGGAGCTGCAGGATTTGCTGTTTTCCCTGCTGGGTTTCAGTCTTCCTGTGTTCTAACATTTTCTTGCTATGCCCCCATTCTTCTCGTCTAGAATGGTAATGTTTTTTCTGTACCATCGTATATTCGAAGTACATAACTTTTTATTTATTTAGTCTAAGATTTTTTTAAATTGAACTTTTGCAAATTTCATACAATGTATTTTGATTATATTTAGATCCACTCCCCCTATTTGTGCCTTCCATTACTGCCCCCAATTTCATATATTATATATAATATATATTATATATCTATATCTACTATATATCTAAAGGCCTATAGAGTCAAATTTGTGTCCCCAAATATCCTTTGATGTGGGTCTATCCATTGGAACCTGGTTAATCTACCAAGAGTCACAACTTTAAGAGAGACTGACTCCCAGCAGCCATCACTTGCCAATACTTACTCAGGTAGGGTTGGGATTTCTTGTCTACTTTCCCACTTCTATGCCGGCATTTTATCTGGCTTGGATTTATGTGGGTCTTATGCACGCTCTCACCATTGCTGTGAGTTCATATGAGTAACTGACCAGCTGTCTGGAAAACTCTTTTTCCTTGTGGTCATCTACCACCTCTGACTTATAGAATCTTTCCACCCCCTCTTCCACAATGATCCCGAAGCCTTGGGAGGCAAAAGTTTGATATAGGTGGCCATTTCAGGAATAATCACTCTGCAGCCTCTTATTCCCTGCATATTGGCAAGTTGTGTGTCTCTATATGAATCATCACCTGGGGCATAGGGCTAACAATTAAGAGCCGGACTTGGCTTTCAAGTGAGACTTGGACTTTACACTTTTAAACAGTGTTGGAATGGTTAAGGACTGGGGGGACTTTTGAAGTAGGACTGAATACATTTTGCATTATGAGATTGTGGGATCAAGGGAGGGAAGGTTACGGTGTAAAAGCAATGTATTTGGGTGTCAAGTTGACAAAGGGTAGAGTTGTAATAATAAATTACAACTTCTCAGGATGTGGAATCACCTAGGAGACAAGATTCTGTACACGCTTGTGAGGGATTATCTAGATTAAGTGAACTGAGGTGGAAGACCCATCTTAACTGGACACACAGCAGTATTCATTGTTTATCTGAAATTAAGGTTAACTCTGGGTTTTGTCCTTTCATTTATTAATTGTGGCAACTCTAATTTAAGGAGACCTTTTTTCATCCTTGGCCTACTATCCATAACAAGGTTATAAAATAAATTATAATGAATAACAGGAAGGAGAAAAATTAAACAAAGATGGTATTGCTGAGAGTACTACAAAGACTATCTCAAGTTTCATGGAAATCTTAGTTTTACTCATGGTTCTATTTTATAGAGTAAGTTCTAGCAGTGTAAGACGACACACAGCATATGGGTATCAGGGCTATAAATGACTTTATGTTTCCAGCCCTAACTAGTTGCTAGCTGCTGGGACAAGGAGTTAAAAGACAATCAAGTGTGCAGCCTATCTTGCCCCTTTTGAGTATGTCCAGTCTTTTGACAGGACACTGTCCTCTACAAAGTTCACGCAAAAGTGTGCGATCCAGTTAAAACAACAAAAACCCCCTCATGTTTTAAGTGAGTTTATGCTTTGTTTTGGTGTTGGGATATATTCATAGCTATCCTTGGCCACAGGCCAGATATGCCTGAACCCTAAATGGATCAGATTTAATCTGTCCTGGGGGAGGGGGGGGGATATGGGATATATATGAGAGGCAGGCAGATCTGAGCCTGGTTCCCACCTCCATCTTTCATCTGAACTAGTTTCTATAATTTAATTTTGTGCCTGTTTTCTCATCTGTAAAACTGGAGTGAGAAAACTGACCTTAGTACTGATGTGAAGAGTAGATGAAATAATTGTAAAATGATCACCTTGGCATCTAGAAGACCCTTAGGTGTCATTAAGTCAAAGCTCTAGTCTTTGTTTTTCTTTTTTCATTTACAAAACAGAACAGCAACAACCACAAGACAACAGTCCTAGTGATGACCTATCTTGCCTCTGCCTCTCAGCCGTTTTGAGGATCAGATGAGATGATGTGCTATTTTTCTAAATTCTAAGCCAGACCAAGATTGTTCTTTGACAGAATCCGATTTAAGGTCATGCTTGAGCATCACCACAATTCTCCCCACACCCTTTGCTTTATTATAAAAATTAGACAGTAAACCTGTCCTTTTTGGTGTAGTCTTATGAGTTCTAGAACATGTATAGGTTTACATAACCATCTCCACGACTGCCGTACAAAACACGACTACAGCTTTTGAGTTTTTTTCCCCCCAAAGCATTTCACATTTATATTGCAAAACACTTTTAAAAATAAGAAAAAGGAATTTGGATAAATGTGCTGAAGATGCAAATTAATGAAACTGTCTTTTTGCACAAATCTCTGCAGTCTCCAGCCTCTGCAGTTTTTTTTTTTTTTTTTTTTTTTTTTTTTTGAAAAAAAAAAAAAAAAAAAAAAAAAAGAGCAGTCTGTCTTTCCACAAAAGTAATCAGCAATAGATTCAGAACTGGGCCTTCACGCTAGAGACGCAGGTCAGAGCACAAGTCACAACTTCGTTCGCTTGATCCTTTTCATTACGCCGCGTCTTCATTTTCCCCAACTGCTTTTCCTGTCATTTTCTGTCTAAAATGAAGAAGCCTGGAATAAACCACACCCCCTTACACTGGAGGAAGTTGACTGGGGTGAAAGAAGATTCAGTTTCTGGAAGGCGCAACGCCAGGGCATTCAAAACCCCGAATCTCTGGTATAATGACCTCCTTTCCGGAATCTTTCTATCCCTTTCCCTAACCCATCATCCTGCGCCTGCCAGCGCCCCCTGGGAGACAGACTTTGGGACAAAGTTCTGCTCTCCGAGGTCTGCCCGCCCACCTACCGCAGCAAGCGCTGCTGCGTAAGTGACTTAACGCTGACGCCCCGCACCACATCTGGTGGAGGGCGCTTTCCCGGTGACTCACGTCATTGCGATTTGCCTTTGTTTCTAGGGTGTTTTGGCTGCCTTTTCCTTCCCTCTGCTTTTAATCTGGGGAGGAGAAAACCCAAATGAATCAAGAATGAATGCCCTCTCCACTAATTCTTTCCCCTCCCTTTAAAGTTGACTCTCTTCCCAAGTTCCAGCTAGCAAAGGCGTGCGGGGGCGGCACAGGTGGTAAGGCACGAACCAGCCCTCCATCCGAAGTAGCTACTGGGGAGGAGACTTTCCGCTTCTTCCTCACAATCCGCGGGGCGGCTGTCGCGGCCGCTGCAACGTTTGCATCTGGTTTCTTTCTCCTGCCGCCTTGTGCGGCCGGGTGTCACGCCTAAACCTATCTCGTCACTGCTAAAGATGCCCCAAGCAGAGTGAATTCCAAGAGATCCATCCACCAGCGGTTGTTTCCTGTCCGAGGTAAATACACTATGCAAAATATGGAGCCACCAAAGGATGCCGGGGAGGGGGAAGAGCAAGGGAATCCCTCACCTTTTCCGGCTTGTGGCTCGTTCATTTCCACCGGGAGGAGGCGCGTAGCCCGGCTGCCTCTCGTGTCCTTCAGTACAGCCCCCACGCGGGACAGTCGGGGTGGGCAGCGTGGCCGCAGTGCCCGGGTAGCGGGCCTCCCCCGCCCCCCGGCTTGGTTTTGCCCAGCTGTGGAGGCTGGGCCAGGGGCCGGGGTGCCGGGAGAGTCGGCACCCGCCCGCCGCGCAGCCGGGAAGTAGCCGGACTCGGTGGCCCTCGGAGTTGGCTCCCGAGGCGCGGGCGCGGAGGTGAGCGGTGGGGAGCCTGTGGCCGGGGCGACGGCCTGGGGGGGCGCCGGGCCCTCCCCCTCCTAGGGTGGGGCGGAGCGGGAGCCCTGCCTGCCACCCCGCCCGGGTCCCAAAGCCTCTTTGTTGGTGGGTCCCCAGCTCCTTTTGGCGGGGAGATGAACGAACCCCCACTTGGGAGTCTAGGGACGGAGGGGCAAGAACTAGGGACTGAGGAGGGGGGACCACAGCTGTACGCTCGCCTCTCTTGACCCCACTAATCCAAGAAGCTACAAAAAGATCAAAAGACTCCTGTAACCTGAAACTTCGCTCTCATCCCAAACCTTTTGGGGGG